TTTTCTATCATACAAAACAACAGCAGAAAGACGACTCATTTTCAGAGAATTTGAGAATTTAGAGTTTGGGAATTTGAGAATTTGAAAGCTTGTGAACTGAAGTTTGTTTTGAAAGTTTATAATATGTTGCATATAATAGTGTCTATAATCGGAGTACTATTCACATCTTTCTTTCCTCGTCTATCTATGTTATGTGTAACCATATAGTTATCCGTAACCATATGACCAGTTTCAGCGTAATATTGTCGAGGGGCCAACAGTGTATATCGGTTCTCCCAAAGCGTAATCCAATCTCTGTGTCTCACCACCCAGTTAACATCTTTCTTTCGTCGTCTATCTATGTTATGCACGTCGTCTAAATTCCTAGGTGCTCCAGGAATATATTGCGTATAACCATACTGACGAAGCACGCGATCAACTGGATGCCACTCAATAATAGCATAACATATAAGAGGTATAATCGATATCCATACCTCTAATGACCCACTAAGGTGGGGTGGGATGCAAGCTTTCACTTCATCGCTCGCATAAGGTATCCACTGAAACTGAAATATAAATATACAATTCAAATAAATAAAATATTTTAATTATATCTAGCATTTTAAATTAAAATATTAATAATTAAAAAAATTTAAAAACATACCTCAGACCCAGCTTTCGTATCAATAAGTAAACGAATTTCCTCTAACCCAGTAGGTATACTTTTATGGTCCTTTCTTTTCATCGACCACCTATGAATTATAATATAAACTAAATATAACCCTATTTAATTGAAAATATTTAAATCATTTTAGTTCGAAAATTACCTCAACAATAAGGGGAATACGTATGGTTCATTCACGATCGGGCATAAGAAAGGCATGCGGAACCACGCCCATGATTGTAGAAGCAGAAGACATCCACCTATAGCAGTTTTCTTATAATTCGTCGCCCGACACAATTCTCTAAAGAGAAATGCCAAAACTGCAGCGCCCCAACTATATCTTCCAGCTTCATCAAAATCGATCAGATGCCGCAACCACATACAATGCACCTAGTTGCGAGATTTGTCGGGCATCAATATTCCTCCAATTATTCGTAGAATATATGCCCGAGCACATGCCTTTGCTTGATCCTCTGAAGCATTTTCATTTAAAACCTCAAAATTAGCTTTCAACCAAGATAAAGCTATTCTACCTCCATTAAACTCTGGCGGAGCAGCTCCAAGATAATCAATGCACATTGATTGCCAATCACCATCCGCCATACCACACATCATATTTCCGTCGACGGGAAGCCCCAGATGCATAGAGACATCCTCCAATGTAATTGTGGCCTCTCCACATGGAAGGTGAAAAGTGTGTGTCTCGGGCCTCCACCTCTCAATCAGTGCAGAGATTAGGAAAGGTTCGAGTTTGCAACCGCCTATAATTGTTGCAATATACCCGAACCCTACAGAAGCCAAATATGACAAAATACGTTCCGGTGTCGATATACGTGGATTTTTAATAAAAGTCTCTAAAATACGATCAGTATCCTAAATAATATATATTATAAAAAATAAAAATTAATATAAATTCATAATAACTTTAAAATAAAAATAAATTTAAATATTAACATTAATTATAAAAAATATTATCATATCGCTAAAATGTCTAGAGATATTATCAATATTCAATCGCAACCGCATTTCGTTTTTCATTATAACTGTAGACAAAACAATATAATTAGCAAAAAAATAATTCTAAATAAATAATAATTATATAAATATTATTTTAATAAAAAAATAATATTTACATAAATATATTAATATAAAATATAATAACTATTTAAAAAATACTAACATAAAAATAAATTTCTTACCACTAATAACAAATTTAAAACTCAAATAGTTGGAGAATTTGAGTTATATAAAAAAGGAGAATATAATTTTGGTGTGAAGAATGAGGGAGGGTTGAGGGAGTTTATATAGGGGAGGAGGGGGGTAGTTAGGGAAAACGGATGGGGGTATTTATGGCATTTAATGGAAGACGCGTCCCCGGGGATGCGCTTTCCACACGTGGCAGTCGAGTCAGTGAAGACGCGTCCCCGGAGATGCGTCTTGACAGTGGCAGAGGACAAGTGAGAGGTGTGGTCACACTGGCTTGGGGAGGACGACTTTGACCTTGGGAAAGCCGATTCGCTGTGCGCGTGGGAGTTGGAAGGACACGCACGGCGGATGCAAGCTCATGACATTAGGGGAAACCCTAGTTTGGGTTGTATCTAGCCATTGGATCTAAACAGATCTGATGGCTGGGGAGTGGATGCGTAGAGAAGGATTGATTTGAATCCTTTAAAGGTGTTGGTTGTTTTTAAAATATTATGGCTCTATTGTTATTCAAGTAATATTTTTAGCATCCGTGTTTCATTCAAAAGTAAGCGGACTTTAAAAGGTCTTGGTTGTTTTTAAAAGAAATTTGTTTTAAGAAAGTGCCAAAAACGAAAGGCAAGTGTTGGAGTTTTAGGGGTATGATTTGAATGATTACCACCACGCTCAATTATTCTCCAAAAGTAATTGTCCAACATGTCGGAATTTACTATCCACTTTGGATTTCTTTTCACTTCTTTTATTTTTAATTTAACAAAATATTCCATAAAAAAAACATATCTAAAATCCCCTCATCCAACTTCGAAGGACTTTTCCACACGGGAAAACATGAAAATGTTCAGATATTTCAAAAAAAAAAAAAAACAAACAAACAAACATATTTTTATGATGTTTTTACCTAAATAAAACCTGTTTAGAATAAATTTTCATTCTAACACACTGTCAGATTATTTTTCAATCTGACACCTTTTTTATCACGTAGACAAAAGATGTTCTATGTAACATACGCATTTGAAAGCATATTATACTTTAGGCTTGTAAATGAATTGAAAGTTAAACGAACCGTTTATGAACCGTGCGGCAGGAAGTTCATTTATATTCGTTTATTTATTAAATAAATTAATATGAACAAGATTTTGCGTTCGTTTAACTAAATGAACGAACACAAACAAATGGCTCGTTCGTTCATTTACGTTCGTGAACGTTCAATTATATGCTCGTTTATTTTCGTTCATTTATGTTTATTTATGTTCGTTCATTTATGTTCGTTCATTTATGTTCGAACAAAAGGTAAGTTGAATATGTTACGAAGATTATTGAAGTTGTTTGAATTTCAAGAAGATTGTTTTGTTGAACAAATTAACTTTAAGACTTTATTATATTCATATAGCTTATTTATGATTTATGTATTTTTTGTCGTATTCGAATAAATTAACTCTAAAGTTGCAGGTTATATTAATGAATTTTAAGTTGTTATTCTTGTTTACTTTTTTTTACATTCACTTGTTGTATTCGAATAAGTTTATTTTTTGTGTTTGTGTTGTTTGTTTATGTTCATTTATTATGTTCGTTCATTTGTTTATATTCATTTATTATGTTTTTTCGTTTATGTTCGTTTACGTTCGTTTATGTTCATTTATTATGTTTTTTCGTTTATGTTCGTTTACGTTCGTTTAAATGAACGAACATGAGCAAGCTATATTCCTTAATGAACGAACATGGACAAACTATATTCCTTAATGAACGAATATGAACAAAAAAAAATTGTTCGTTTATGTTCATTTATTTATTAAATGAACGAACATGAACATACCTCCGTTCGTGTGCGTTCGGTTCGTTTACAGACCTATTCTACTTGTGTGATAGAAATACTGGCACACATTAAATTAAAATGAAAGAAAAAATAAAATATAAAGTATAAAATAATTATACCAACTTTGTCCAATAAAGATATATTGTTGCATTACATGTCGAAAACACGTAATTTTCAATATAATGTTTTTTTCATTAAACGAAAATATATTACATTTCTAAAATAAACGTCTGAATTCAAATTAACATAAAATAAAATAACATAAACATTGGATCAACTAATAGAATATTTTATTTTTATTTTATTTCAATGTAATACTTTATTAAAACGTTTTGAAATGCTTTATTTCATGTATATTTTTCAATGTAATTCTTTGTTTTTTTCTTTAATGTAATACTTTATTAAAACGATTTCAAGTTTAAATATTTATTTTTTTAAAAAAATCATCAACACAATTAAGCTGGAAATAAAATTCAAAATTTAAATTTATTAAATACAGGAGCGCATTATGGTTAGAAATGATTCGTTTGAAATGGTAACGGATAATATATCTTCCTCTCAAGCCAAGCTTCCGCCTTCACTTTTGTTTATAAAGTCTTCCTCGCCTCACAGAAAAACTCAAAACCTGACCTTTTCCTCATGGAAATAACAGGAGAGCCGCCGCCGTTATGGCCACAACTAGCTGCCACCTCCATGCATCACCGCCGTCTGCGATCACGATCTGACCTCTTCACCCCACCAGTTCTCATCATTCTCTTGCCCACCATCGCATTGCTTATCTTGTTCTTCGCCGTCCCTCCTTTTCTGTCGACCATTGCCGGTCAGATTTTTAGACCAACCGGCGTCAAGAAAAACTCCGATTCCCTCAACGTTTTTATTGTCTTTTTCGTCATTCTTTGCGGTGTTTTCGTTAAAAGAAACGACGGCGGGGACGGGAACGACAAGTACAAGTACAATAGGATTGATGGTAGTCATAATAACAAGCTAAGCCATCCCGTTCAGCAGCGATGGTTCGATCAGTATCCGGAAAGGAAGATCTACCCTCCAGTGAACGCTGTGGCATTGGCGGCCGAACTAACCGGCGTGAGGAGGTTGAAAAGAAGCAGTAGCTCGTATCCAGATCTGAGACGGGATTCTTTGTGGGAAAATAGTGATGATCGGTCTCGTTTTTTTGATGATTTTGAGATAAACAGATATCGATCTGCAACAAATAATTATGACGATCAAGCTCATAAGCTTCGCCGGAGCTGGAGAAATGATCTTTTTGAAGATTCTGAACCCAAGGTTATTCCTTGAGAAACCTTTGTGTTTCGTTCTTCGCCTCCGTCATCTCTTCCGTCGATGTCTCCAGCTCCTTCAACACCGCCACTTCCACCGCCTCCTCCGCCTCCAGCTGCTACTTACCTTAAACCAAGGCGAACTTATCAAGCTGTTGGACAGAAAGAGAAGGTGATGAAGCCTCTTATTGAATTCGATGAAAGTGAGTCTCCGAAGCCAGTAACACCACCGCCACCTCCTCGGCGACCACCATCGCAGCTAATTCAGACGGTTAATAGATCAGAACAAAGGCATGCGAAATTGGAACGTCGAAGAAGTAATGCAACCAAAGAAATAAATATGGTTTTTGCTTCTTTAAGGAAGAAGAAGAAGAAGAAGGCCAAGGATCATAATCATGATCATCAATACGATTATACTCTGCAATCTCGACGAAAACCACCGCCATACTATTCCACCACCATTCCCCCACCGTCACCACCACCAATGCCTCCACCACCATCCCCCCGTCTTTCAAAAATACAATCTCTTCAAATCGAAGGCCAGCAAAAGCAAAAAAAATCTATTCAGCTCCTCCGACATCTCCGCCTCCGCCTCCACCACCACCACCACCATTTTCCGTCCCGAAATTTATGCAAAACACCAAAATCCCACCAACGACACCACCAGCTGCACCACCAACACCCCCACCGGAACCTTCAAGAAGGCGAACTACGTGCAAGGCCAACAGGTGTAGGTCACCATTGCCAACAAAAGCCAACACTAGCAGTTATTATGAGGAGAATATGAACAGCGGCGGGCAGTCACCATTGATCCCGAAGCCGCCACCTCCACCGACATTTTCAATGCCGGAACTTAAATTTGTGTTCGGTACTAGTTCTCCGGACATTGAGGAAGGCAATTTTCCGCCAAGCGTGATGGAGGGTAATAATGGAGGGGTTCCGGTGGTTTGTCCCAGTCCCGATGTTAATGCAAAAGCTGAAACTTTTATTGCCAGACTCAGAGATGGGTGGAAATTAGAGAAAATAAACTCCATGAAAGAGAAGCAAATGATCCATTAAAATTAACACGGTTGAAGAAATCAAGATGATACATTTTTCAACCTCTTTTTTTTTTCCTGGTTGAATTTGATTTTCTCGGTCAACTGAGATCATAGTGATATTGTTGAGGAAGCCTCACGGGAGTTAAAGTTTTTGTTCACTTTCATGAAGGCTCCTTGCAAGTTTGAGTGTGTGTTTGTTTGTTGTGTTCGTAGTTGGAGCTTTGAACTTGTGTCTGGTTTGGATGTAACCCAACTTTGTTTTAGTTTGCTGATGCATTCCAACCGCCGCTGATTGTCTTTTTTGTTCACCAATTGGAGCCTCACTTGTGATTTTGCAATTTTTTATGAAGATTTGGGATATATATAAGTAATTTTTTAATAAATTATGTAACGTAATATTTGATTATAATTTTTTTAGTTATTTGTAATGCAAATATCATGTAGATATGTTTTTTTCCAACTTAAGATTTTTTTTAAAAAATAATATCTTTTTATCACCGAAGTCATTCAATAAATAAAATTATATATAAAAGTTAGGAAAATTCTATAATGCTAGACGAGTGTTGAGCATTATTAACTTAATTTATAAAAATTTAAAATTTTAAAGGACTTAACGTATAATTCTAAGTTAATTAAAATTTTTAAAAGTAAATTATTTAAAATAAAATATTAATGTAGACTCAAAAATAATTAAAAAATAATTAAAAATTTAAAGGCAAATTATAATAAAATATTAATTGCATTATTTTCCATAAATATTTTTAACAATAATTGGATCAAATATCAACCTCTAAATTAAAAAATCCTAAATATTTTATTTTAAATATTGTGCCTTTAAATTTTTAACTAGTTTATAATTATACATTGAATATAGTAGAAATTCTTTAAATTAATACTCGGTAAATTAATAAACTCTCTAAAATAATAAATTTGTTCGGTCCCGACTTGGGCCAATGTAAAAAATTGAAAAACTCGATAAAATAATAAGATAATAATTTTTCGTGAGATTCCTTTATAATTTTCGGTCCCAAGAAAATCATAAATTAATAATTCATAGAAACTGAAAAAAAAAATATTACACTCTATTGAAATATGATTCAATAGTTGTCTGTTTTCCTTTAAAGTTCAAGTCTATTTGGAGTTCATTATTAATTTAACTCATTTATTGCAACATAATTCTAAGAGGCATAGATTAATTTGCCTTTTTGTTTGGTATGTACAGTATAATTACTTAAAAACTCTTTAAATTAATAATTATTAATTTATCGATAAATTAATAACTCTCTATATTAATAAATTTCTCCGATCCTGACATTATTAATTTATAGAGTTTTAAGTGTACTTTATGGTTTTAAATTTTTATAAATTAAATTAATAGTACTCGTCGAGCGTGGTTGACTCGTCATATCAAATTATCAAAACTCATAATCAAAATCTAATTATATATTAGATAATATATTTTTCACCAAAATTTAAAACTGAAGATTCATGTTTGGATCATTTTATTTTTTAAAGTATTAAAATTGGACATTCAAGACTAACATTAAATATAATCCTCTCTCTCTTATATATATAAATGATACTTAATTTGAGATTGGAGCAAATTAGCAACAACAGCTGTGAAAGGTGGGTTAATTAAATGAAAGGCAAAGCCGTGCTTTGTTTGGTCCCATTCCATATTCATTGCTTCAATGCTCAAATCAAACGATGAGACCAGGGTGATCACTTTGAACATTCAGCTATGGACAGTTTTTATTTTTGATCATCAATCTTTTAATTTTATCAATTAAACCACTTAATTGTTTAAGTGTTGCCAATCAAATCATCCGTAGTTAATATTTAACCGACGAACTGGCATGTTTGTTAAAATATTAGTATGATTACAGATTTATTCTTCAATATTTAAACAATTTATTGATTTGATCATAATTTAATTTAATAAAATTAATCTCCAATCAGATGGTGACACGTGTCTAGTTATATATTAGAGTGTTCAAACTTTGGTCCAGGAAGAAACTTTTTAAATTTATTAAACTAAATAAAAATTACGATAAAATCGATAAGTTGTGTAAATATTGAAGAGTAAATATGTAATCATACTAATTTAAATACTTAAGTGCTTTATTGATAAAATTAAAAGATTCTTATATCCACAATTAAATGATGGTCCATTTAATGGAATTTTGAAATTAATTGACCCTCCCCCACCAAATTGGCTGTTTTCCAATCTCACCATGCCTTTTTATTTCTCTTATCTATATGTGAAATAAGTAATTAAACTCCATGTGTCCTATATGAGTATGTCTCGCTTTTTTCATATATTTGGAAGAAAATAATATCACTTTGCTTGTGTGATACACAGAAAAACTAAATAATTTACTAGCATTAAGAACGATGTATTATTTCAAGAACAAAAAGAGTAACCTAACAAATTAATAAATAGAATGTTTATATCTCAAGATTTGAGGCAATTGCCCCCCTACCATATCACAACGTGGGATGCCATTTTCATACAACCATAATTCGATGCTCTTTTGAATCTACAACATTTGTGATGGCTGAGAGCCTCAACCCCCGTTTTCTTGTCTCTTCAACTTAATTAACATACCACCCATTGCCAACGAACACGACCATTGCCGGCGAACCGATAGTTCATCGAGTAAAACCCGAGACGATCATTACAATGATCACCGAAAGGTTTAAGTACAAAAAGGTTAACATGACTTAAAACACATCATAAACCAGACAAGCAGCAATTGATCAAAGCGAGTTTGGAATCAAGCACCAACTGATCAATGTACCATATTCGACTTTAGTCTTTTGAGTGTTTACCGAGTTCGGAATCTAGAGCTGTAAATTGATCCTTTCAGACCATTTAAATATATCGCTATAAACACGATCCCCACCGAGGTCTTCACCAGAAGCCCCTGCTGCAACTCGGAGAACATCCTCGATCAAAGCGAAATTCCCCAACAATCAACATGAGAACCACTTTGAGTGCCTCGACCTTCTAGCATATTAGCCGGAGGAGCATGATTGTACTCCCGTATGTAAGTACGAATTCCCGAAGGATTGAACCTGGTTTTACCCCGCCAACCTTTCGCACACATGAAACCTGCACTTATAACAGGAACTGTTTCGTCGCCGTCACCGGAGAAAACACCGCCTTTTAGACATGAATCTTCACTATCACCATCTACCGATGTGTCTACCTGAAACGGAATACGGCAATCACTAGGACTAGCTACTTTGTAGATATAACCTCTTTCGGTGGAAAGTCCAACTCCATACAATGAGTAGATTTCCATGTCTGGAGCATTTGGCAGCCTGCAAAATCATCCGGCATTTGCAAATCCTCAAAGAAAATATCAAAAACCGATTAAATAACCGAGAAGTTGAAGAAACTCACTTTGTTTCCAAGGGGTTTGACCAATATTTGTAATGTTCATACTTTGGATCATCCAAATCATCGGCTATCCCATACGAAAAATGAGAAGCTCCCCGTGCCATCAACTTCGGGGCAACGTAATGAAGCAGATCCAAAATCGATCCGGTGGTGTAGACTTTGTGATCCGCGACTGCTTTGATAGCTTTTTTGCCCATTTCATGATACTCTAACCATATGTCACAATTGCTTGAGTTGGCAAGCTCATCACCCTTTGCAACATTCTGCAGATCAACAATAATCAGAGTAAGGAACCAATTATCCCCTAGCATGCAAACCAAATAGCACAATTCATGATAGTCTTCCTTTTATAATTGCATTTTGATCTATAAAATCTTCCATTTGGCATGACACTACCTTGAAATCAGCCCTCTCAAATTTGGAAGAATGTGTCTCAGACCACTCTTTCCCGAATGAAATAAGTCTCCCATAATTCACACCTTTCGTATTACACACATAGCTCTTTGAGTTTTCACTGGTATTATGTGTGCTATTGTTCTTCCCCTTTTTCGGACCATTGTCGAAGCTATCTATTTCAGGTGACCAATCAAGACCACCCCAGATTGTTTCCCCACCTTTTGGTACCATCGAAAAGGTGGCATCCCAAGTTCGGAACATTCGCATTAAATGCTTAAAAGTTTGAAGACCAAATACATCCTTGTCCAGAAGACCTGGTACTTGAGCCCTGTTTCAACAATGAACATTTCATTTAGCTCTCGAAAAAAGATAGAAATGCATTCCCATGTCTGAAACTATTTTCGGTTCACCAAGAATTAGAGCAAACATGTTGATAGTACCTGAGATTTGCTATATCCCTGACTTCAATAGAAAAATGCAGTGCGATCGATTTCGGACTACCTAAAAAAGGCGCACCGACGTTCATTACTGCCTTTATGTGCCTCGCGCACCAATCCGATCCACCTCCACCACCCCTAGGAGCTGGTGTTTCAACCCATTTCATGAAGTGCAGAAAGTACTGGACTCCCATCGAATGCGGAACAACTACTACCTTTTTCCCACCATGTGTAGCTACCAAGAGTTCAATGTCACTTTTTATTCTAGTTAAAGATTGGTCCCTGACCTGATTTATTTGGTAGAATAAGCACAAATATATTTGGTAGAAACAATTAGAGAGAACTGTAAAATTTCAAATTAAGAGCATACCTCAGTGTTCTGAAAAGATAACCTCCAATCATAAGCAGCCATATGCAATGATTTTTCCTCATAGCCAATATGAGCCAAATTAGAAATCACGACAGCCCAAACAAAATAACCTCTTGCAAAATAATCAGCTGCCACAAGTCCAGCTACAGGCCTGACCCTTATACCAGGAGGGTCGAATCCAGTTTCATTATCAAGTGATATGTGTTCAAGCCAGCATAATGGTCTGCAATGAAATTTGAAGAACAGAAGGAACTCTAGTAAACGTCATGGACAAGGACAACTTAACTTTTAAATACAGTTTGAGGATAAACACAAAATAAAATGAACCCTGCAATCTTACAGCAAGCTAATGAACAACTTTGCAAGCTTAAATTACCATGTGGAAAGCTTCAACTATTACAGAACAGAGT